ACATACTCTAGAAAGTGTTCAAAGAAATACGGATCAAAATTAACCTTCACAAAACAGAAACTATGATCTGGAATTGGAATGAAAGTAGTGATGAAAACTACCCTAAATCCATCATCAAAATGAAAACATCCTCTCCCAAGTGGTCCAAGAAATAGAACTCAAGATAAACATTGCCAAATAAGAAACTATGATATGGAATTGAAATTAATTCAGTGATGGTGCCAACCCTGAATTCATCATCAAAATGAAAACATCCTCTACAAAGTGTTCCAAGAAATAGGATTCAAGAAAAACATTTCTAAACCAGAAACTAAAATCAGGAATTGGAATCAAAGCAAAGATGGCACTGACACTGAATCCATCATCAAAATGAAAACATCCTCTAAAAATATTCCAAGAAGTAGGTCTCACAATAAACATTTCTAAAACAGAATCAATGATCTGAAATTGGAATGCATGTACCTACCCCAAATCCATCATAAAAATTTAGGATGTAGAATTTGTAAATGCTGAACATTTCAAATACTTCAGTGTATGAATCAGTTATAACAAATTTGGTATAGGAGATGAGGAATTTGGATAGAACATGCTGGACCAGAAGTAGTTTTGCTCAACATTACAAGACTACTACTAAAGCAAAACATCAGCCTGAAAACTCATGTCATTTACTTAAATAAACTTGTCAGATCAAGACTTTAATATGGATGTTCAATTCAGTTCAGGAATATCTAAACTCTCAGCTGTATACAACCAGATCAATGGTTAAAAATGTCTTCAAGTGAGTGAAGCCTAAGTGTCTTGGCAATGACCATCATTCTTTGAAATTTGTGTACTGGTACTATATAATCATACTTATTATAAAAACCCAGGTTGTGTGTGTGTGTTTGTGTGTGTCTGTACGTTTATATATGGGATCGGATTTCCTACATTTCTCAACTGATTTCAACAAAACTTCACAGGACTACGTAAAATTACCTTGCGGTGGTTCTGACAGCGCCAAAAATTGGAAAAACACAATTGTTTTTGCACAAAATCAATTTGAAAACATGATTAAGAGAAATCGTGAGAATGAAAGGGGGACAACTCATATCGAGTTATACTTATTATAAAACACAGGTTGTTTGTGTGTGTGTGTGTGTGTGTCTGTGTTCATTTATATATGGGATCGGATTTCCATGCCATTTTTCTCCATTTGACAGTGACGAGAAGAGGTTCCTGGTGTCCCACAAATCTTTCAACCATTTTCCATACAAACTCATTGGTTTTTTGTTCCCAATAGAAAATTCCATGGAGTTTTCTCATGCATTTGTTCTCAAACGCTTGGATCCTTCTCTCTGTTTCTGCCAACAGTGTCCATGTTTCACACCCATACAGAAGAATGGAGACTACCAGCAATTTGTACAGTTTGTACTTCATTTGAAAGCAGAGCATGTTTACACATGCTTTTGAAATCCCAACGTAATAAGTTTGTCTTTGTAATTTACCCCTGAAGATGATCTTAGAAAAGATCGAAAGTACTTTTTTTTTTTTCTAAGCAAATTACCCTAAGCAAGGCGGGAGTGCCACTAACACACAAGGGGTTACAGAAAGTGAGTGTAAGAGTAAAGAGGAGTGTTTGGAAAAAGTATAAAGAGAAGGACAGGGATCATGGTCAAGGCATTAGAAGATGTCGATTGACATTACATTTGAATTATTGAAGATTATAGCTATCAGGGAAGCAAGTGATAGGAAGGGAGTTCCACTGACAGGAGGTGTGAGATAAGAAGCTGTTGGAGTAGAAGAGATGGCTACATTTAACCGTATCTACAATGAAAGGGTGGGACCGAGATGCCAATCTAGTAGTATGCTTAAATTCATGGAGTTTGGTAACCAATGAAAGTAGCTTGTTGGAGCAGTTGCCATGAAATACTTGTAGAAAAGACAGAGGAAAGCCACAGCATGTCTGTGAGAAAGTGACTGTAGATGAGATGCCAGATCAGGACCAATCATGTTGCATATCCGTCTCTGGATTTTCTTGAGGACCTCAAGATAAACAGGGTTAGAAAGAACTATGATGCCTTCCTTGATGAATTTCATCTTAACATCTGATCTGACATCTCGTCTTCAATTGCTCTCTCACAGACATGCTGTTACCTCCCTCTGTCTTTTTTACAAATACTTTCATGATAACTGCTCCGATGAGCTGCTTTCACTGGTTCCCAGATTCCATGAATTTAAGTGTTCAACTAGGCTTGCATCTTGCTCTTACCCTTTCACTGTCGAAATTGTTAAATGTAGATGTCTCTTCTACTCCAATAGCTTCTTGTCTTGCACTTCTCACCTGTGGAACTCCCTTCCCATTTCTTGTCACCCTGATAGCTATAATCTTCAACTATTCAAATGTAATGTCAATTGACATGTCCAAATGCCTTGATCAATCCCCTATCCTTCTCTTCATCCGTTCCTCTATCACTCCTATTTGCTCTCGCTCCAACTTTCTGTAACCCCCTGTGTGCTATTGACTTCCTGCCTTGCTTGGGGTGAAACGCTTAAAAAAAACATCAAGAAACTGATTAGACAATTGGAAAGGACCATTATAAACATAGACAAATATGTCTATATTATTCAATGAAACATAATGAGAATCCAAAGAAGTGTATGTGTGTGTGTTCAATAGTTTTTTTTTAGATGAGGGAATTTTCCTTATACATTATTTTATGTTTATACATTCTTTTTATAGATACAAATATTTAAGTAAATGCTCTGTTTTATAATAAACAGTATTAACAACATTTACCGGCCTGAATGTCCGAGAAATTTTCATGCAAGTGATCTACTTCTCTGGACAACTCGCCATAGAGCAAGATGGATTGGCCACCCAGCAATCATGTACATTGACCAGCTATTTTATGACACAGAATGCCTCCCTAACGACTTGCCGCAGGATGCAGGACCGTGATGTCTCGCGTGATAGACCCATGAATGTCCGAAAGAATATAAAATATAATTTTTCTTTAAATATTGAATTTCTTTTTTGCATGGTTCTGTGTGCCGTTCAATTTTCCATACTGTCATGATTAATTCTGCAATAATTACTCATGAATAACTGATTTTATTTGCCCAATAAATGCTAATTAAAAATATCTGAAGATAAATAATTGATGTTGTAAAGTGAAACATAGCGTTTATTCAAAAGAGCACAAAAAAGAAAAACTGAAAAAAAAATTAAGGCAGATAAAAGGACTTTCCCAATTGTTAAAACAAAGCAACAGCCTTTCAGATGGGGTGAGTTTGAGGAACATGAGGATCTTCATGAGGAGGAACAGTGGTTACAGCAAGATGGTGCTCCTCGTCACACTGCTAATTTTACCAGAGCAATAGATAACCCACAAGTCCTAGTATTGCTCACCAACTGTCCTGCAAAGTGCATTCTGCTATTCAGAATTTTTATTCTCTGAAATTGGCTGCCATGCATGTAGATATTGTTGTGGAGTTATTTTGCAGTGGAGGCTTGTATTTGTACTGTCGATCCTAAAATAGGTTCGACGTACAAAAGGTTAGGAACGTGATATAATAGGTATGATGCAGAGTAATCTAGTTGTGGGTGCTGATACTTTCATATTCGACTAACTGTTGTCCGACCTCGACTGACTCACTGACCGTCCGACCTCAACTGACTCACTGACCGACCGACCGACCCGTTACTCTTACTACTCCTACTTATTATAGGTGGGAGAGTCTATTAACTATAGAATAGATGTATTCCACCATAGATATACAAATAAAACATAGTAGAAAAAAGTGGGTCACACTTTTCCTTTAGATATATAGTCATTTCTTTTATCTATAAACATTATTTTTTGTCGTTACACATATTTGAGTTGGTATCTATTATTTTTTTTACTGGTTTCCTTGATTTGTTTTCTACAGATTATCAAACCTTTGTACCTTACACCGGTTGACATCTTTTTCTGACCCAAATGTTGTTGACCAATAGGCACATGCTTCTGGGCTATTTTTTCGTGCTGATACAAAGGAATGAAAAATGCATACATTTTTGCCCATCCAAAAGTATAAAACTCTACAGTGCTTTTAGAAAAGTTGATGTCTTTTGTTGCTCCTGCAGAAATCAGTCATTATGTTAACATCCCATCTGCAAAGTGCCTATTTGCCTATCTAGTGTTTGGAGGCTATTTTAAGTGTTAATAAAGAAAATTCTAATCTTGCTAGTCTCAAATACACTCGCCTAACACCCTAACAAGCCTCATTTATCGATGTCCCTATGCATGTTATACAGAGACTGCATGACAATAGCAGACCCCCGTAAATTCAAGTGATATGATAAAATCTTATGACGGTTTCAGGCTTAAAGTGAAAACTACTAATAAAAACTAAAATCGTTTTCTTGAATGACTTCTAAAGAACTTCTATGAAAAGTCGAGTAGAAACATAAATCACAAAGTTTTAACAAGCTAAGAACATTGAGGGCACAAGAACATTTCCCATTGAGATATCTTTCCTAAAATCAAGCATTTTCAGATCAGCTTATCTGAAGTGAAATAGCTTAGAATTCATTTGGAAAGTTATTTGAATACTTTTTCTTGAATGATAAATCATTTTAACATGAAACAAAGTGGTTCAACTATGTCACTCACATATTTAAGCTGTGGCATATCCATGTGAATTAGGTATTTTGACCTATTTTAAGCAAAATAGAAATTATCTGTACTGAGAAAACGTGATGTGTTGGGGCAAAATGGACTTGATTTTCAGATTCAGCACGAAAGAAAAGCTTAGAAACATGTGCCCATTGCCAGACAACATTTGGGCTGAAAAAATACATCGACCAGTGTTATTTAAAGCCAGTTGTAAGAAATAAATAATGATTTTAGTGATACAAATCTTACTAATTAACCCAAGGGCATTTTGCACATAAGTAAATATAACATACCCGACTGAAATTTGAACTTGGCTCTTAACAGTTCTGAGCCATTAACCATTACACCACCTGCACATCCAAGCTTACAGCATCTGGTATTCCCAAGTGGTCACCCATCTTGGTACTGACCAGGCTCGACGTTGCTTAGCTTCAGTGATCATACAGGACCCCGGCTATCCAATTAATAATTTTGAGCCATTATCCATTACACCACCTGCATATCCAAGCTTACAGCATCTGCTATTCCCAAGAGGTCACCCATCTAGGTACTGACCAGGCTTGATGTTGCTTAGCTTCTGTGATCATATGGGAACTTGTGTTTTAAATTGTTCTATGGCCTTGTTTTTGTGGCCTACTATTGAACTCACAACTCTTTGGGTTTAGTCACTGGATCTAACCAGCATCAAACTTGGAGAGTTAAAGGGAAATAACTGAGACATCCGGAAGAGGCATGGCACGTGGAACTAGAACAATCTACCCCATTGGGCGAAATAAAAGGTTCGGTTTGAATTTCCAATCACCTGAAGATGGCCGGAGCGTACAACGACCGAAACATTGTGAATATGGCAAGGAAGATGAGAATAACTGTCAAAATAATATAAATAATGTAAGTAAGGAAAACACTTTTTAAACAGAAACAGCAACAATTTGGAACAAACTCAAAAAATATCTGTCTCTATTTCTGAGATGAGGTATTCTATTTACATTGCCTGGACTGTTGTCCTCATCTTTATTGCCATATTTCCGATGTTTCAACTGTTGTATGCTTCAGCCTTCTTCAAGATCTGTTTATATTTTTAAGGAGATATTGTAATTATTTACACCCAGCTCTCCTCAAGGGTACATGGCCAATTGGTAAAAAAGCGTTGGTTGGATCCAGTGACTTGACCCAAAGGGTTGTGAATTCAATACCTGGCTATTGCAAAGGTGAACAAAAACTTTGAGAGTTGAGTCAAAGGGAGATGACTGAGCCATCCAGAAGAGGCATGGCACTTGGAAATAGAACACTCTACTCCGGTGGACAAAATAAAGGGTTCAGTTTGCAATTTCAATCATCTGAAGAAGGCTGGAGTGTACAACGGCCAAAACGTCATGAATATAGCAACAAAGATGAGGACAACAGTTGAACAATGTAAATAGTGTAAATAAACTAAAAGAAATGATAAAAGAAAACGTGGTATCCCAGAGGAGAATTTCAGATTTAGTAGTAGTGAACAGATAATTACCATATTGCCCCTTTGACCAGCAGTCGCTAAAAGACTACATGTAGCTTCCTTAACCCTAATGGGTTACATAGAAACAGGCTTGCAGAAATTACAGGTAACACACATGTATTCATGTGATAAATGTCTATTTTTATATTTCACTGAATTACCATCATAATTTTAACACTATTGCAACTGCTACCATACTAAAACTAAGTAGTAAATTCTCTGAATAAATCCTGAAATAAAACAATTCAGAAAATAATTCCATTTTATTGGAAGCGTTGGATTTAATCGATTAGTGCTTAATCTCCAAGTAGAAACTGCAGAGTCATTTTTAAATTACATTAGTGTCTACTTTTAACATGTGGTGATAGATAAATAAATAAATAAATAAATAATAAGGACCAAAATTTCACTATCTCTAAAAATAGACAGATCATAAAAATCGCCAGGCGAACAAAGCCATAGTTTGACCAAAAAATCAGAATGCTTTAACAACCAGAATGAAAGAAAAGAAATAAACAAATAATAACAAGGAGACTAAAATTTCTTCATCTCTAAAAATAGATAGTTCGAACAACCAATTAGGAAACTTTCACAACCAAGATATAAGGCTGTGAGCCAATGAGAAGTGAGCAGCCTTCTCAGAACGAATCTCTAGATGTGCATTTAAACAGATGGAAAATTAAACAAAATCATAGACGATAAATTTTGTCCATTCGTCGATGCTGTAGTCATCATGACATACCCAAAGATGAAATACATTTGCACGACTAGCTAGTAACCTTACATGGCTAAACAATACTTCCCACATGGAAAACAAGCATACATTCCTTGAGACATTATGAAGCAGCGGCTACTACAGTTATATAAAGTCACGGATACATAAGTAAATATACAAAAGTTTGACACCACAGAACATATATATAGATTTAAAAATGCAGAAAAGCATTCTTCTTAAAGGATCCTTTTTCAGCCAATACTTCATCAGAAGAGTACGTTGGTAAATATTATTTGACAAAAACTCAACAATTCACACTGAGAATATATATAGGAGGCACGGTGGAGTAATGGATAGCGGCTTGGATTGAGGAATCGCAGAGCCGAGTTCGAATTCCAGTCGAATCTATTAAATTCACTTACGTGCTAATACCCTTGGGAAAGCTATGAATCCTCTTCCTCTCCCCTTGAATCTTTGGGTAAAATAACAGGATAGCCTTGGATGGCCTAGGAGAAGGACAACTCTGAATTCAAAACCTGCGGGGGATCGTTTGGGAACCTTGTGGCATTCGGTGCACCAGGTTTCTGTATTCGTCCCTTCAAAAAGTGTGGATGGTCCTGCACGAAACCTTCACCACTATAATCAAATCTCATGTGCCGGTGTCGGTTTCCTGGAAACTGATCTGCTTGACCCTCATACGTCGAATCTCGACGGGAGAGTCGACTATATATATATATATATATATATATATATATAGCAGTTACAGTTCAAAAGTTTGAGGCTACTCCTGGTAATTTTTTAAAGTAGTTGTTTTGTACTTTAGATAAGGGGAAATTATTATACATGATTAAAAAAGTGAGACATGATTTTTTATTAGAAAGTTTGTTAAAGAAAAAAGAAAAGAAAAAAAGCATTTTATGATTTTAATATCCCACCATCAAAACTTTTTCGAAAATGTGAATTGACGTTTTTACTCCAAACAGAAGACGAGTCCATCTTATTAATCCAATAGGGGTGTTCATTGTGGTGACTTCTTGAAACTTGCTATCTGCTGTTATATGCTGACTTAAGGGCAACATTAATAAAGCATTTGATATCCAGTACCTTGTTTCAATGTTTGGCAATGGGAATGAATCCGAACTGATCTGGTGATTTACGCCCACCTTATTATCGCCACAAATTCTTAAATCACCATTAGGCTTGCCTATAGCCACGATGGGTGAAGCCCAATTGCATCCACCTTGGCTGACATTTTCTAATATTCCTTGTTCCACCATTTTGATCAGCTTAGCAACCACCAAGGGTAGTATGTGAACTGGAACTTTTCGGGCTTGAAAATACTTTGGTTGACTGCTTTCTTTAAACCGAATACTCGCCTCATACCCACTTTATAATCCAACATCCGATTCTACAGACTTCATGGAATTTATAAGCTTCGATGTATTCACTCTTGACACGTCAATTCCTAAGAGACTGTGGCTTTTTAAGTTTTCCACCACTATGAAGAGCATTATCTTGAATCTGTTTTTGTTTCAAACGTGCCTTCAAAGCATTCTAAAATTTTGATGATTGACCCGTCGAATTGTTTCAGCTGGAAATTAGTCTTCTTTAACTTTTGATCTACCCATTCTTTCCCTAAAATTCCTCTGTATCAGTGTCATATCACTTCCAGCATCCATCTGCATGAGTAAAGTTACTCCGTTCAACTTCATCATTTCCCTACTTTTATCTTGTGCTTTTGATTCCAATAAAAATATTTGCAATTGGAGGATCTATATTTTCCACTTTTCCCAATCGCTTTTCATATGTGCATACCGTCTAGAAATGATTCCTCTTTTTACACTTAAAACACCATTTCCAAAAAGTCGGACACTTATTTTTGCTCTTTTCATGTTGCAATATCTGCATACAGGTAAGCTTTTTATAGCACTGTAAGTCTCCGTGCTACCTTCAGAGGCATTAAATTTTTGAATCAATTCCAATTGTTGTAAAAAATTCACACATGCTTCCAGATTCATATTACGAGCTTGAAGCCGCTCTAGAATTTTAGACTTGTATGAAATGTCAAACATTCCTTTAGTCAGTCTTAGCAAAATTAGCTCGTCTTCGATAGACATTTGTTCCAAATCCATACTTTCAAATTCGCTAATATCTCTATACTTCTTCTAATCGTTTTACATATTGCATAATAGTTTCGTCCGGTCTCTGTCTTCGAGAAATTGAGTTCTATCCGTTATGACCAATCTTTTTTTTTGGTCGTATATTTTTCTTTTATGATGACACCAATTCTTTCAGACGCTAAATTGATATAATGGAATATGCATACACCTGTGTCCCCCCTCACTGGAATATGATTGGCTGGTGTCCGTCATAAATACCGACGGACGTGTAAGAGAGTCAAGAGCCTTAGTCTGAGAGCTAAGTCTATAACAACGCCTATTGGACTACGCCATTGATCTACACTTCTTACCTGTGACTACGACGCGTACCAGTCGATTACTGCTACCGTATTCTACTTGGTTATAGTAGCCAAAACCACTTAGCTACTTCGTTCAAATATATCCCTTTCCGGGACATATCATAAATCTTCCAACATTTCGGGATAGACCATGACGGAGATATTTTTTATGGTCTGACACCTCATAGGGGCTAAAAACAAATCCGTAACTTAATTGTGTCCAACACTAGCTTTGGTGTCCTTTAACTTTTTCACTCTCGCCGACGCTGCAAAACACCTTAGCCAGGTTTCAATATATTCAGGATCCTCCATCGTTGTTAAGTAACCGATCGGCGACGCCATATTGTTATGATAGGTATTCTCTTTGACAGATGTAATCTTGTCAAAAAAAGATAACTTTGTTCATGTAGATATAAATTACTGCCTTTATACACTACCTCATTTACATATCACTTCAGTTTTAAAAGTATAAGTTGGATTCATTGATTCCATTCTTTTTCAATGACTCTTTTCAAAAATGAATTTTTTTTCACTCATCTGTGATAATTCTTTCTATGGTCTCGAACTTTTTGGACTTTTTGAACACACACACACACACACACACACACACACACACACACACACACACACACATATATATATATATATATATATATATATATTTCCTTTTATTTTAAAATAAAAATAAATGCTAAAATCACTGGATTATAAATATCATTGTTTTTTTTAACATTTTTTATATATATATATATATATTTATATATATATATATATATATATATATATATATATATATATATGTATGTATGTGTGTTGCATGTATGTGTGAAAATTAAATTAAAGTTATTTGAGTTTGTTGAATTAAAAAATTTTTTTGCATTTATTTCCTGCTAGAAGGTCCAACAAGAAAAAATGGCAGAATCTCATTGTTCTTTCTAACATTTTAATAT